GTTCTTTTTTCTGTGCTCAGGCCTCCTGTTTCTCTTTAGTGTGTGTGTGTGTGTGTGTGTGTGTGTGTGTGTGTGTGTGTGTGTGTGTGTGTTGATTTCAGAGAGGAAAAGGGGAGAAGAAAGAGATAGAAACATCAATAATGAGAGAATCATCATTATGGGTGGCCTCCTGCACCCCCCCGACTGGGCCCGCAACCCCTGCACGTGCCCTATCGGGCCCTGACCCCCTGGTTCATAGGTCAGTGCTCACCACTGACCAGCCAGCTGGGCAAGGAGGGTTTTCTTTTTTCCCGTTTCCTTGCGGAATAAATGAAAACATACAAACTGCCACAATGCCCTGAAGCACCTTCCCAACTCGTTTCTGGAAAAACCACACTTTATTGGGTAGACAAATAGGCCTGATTTGAAGGCCTTAGATTCAGTAACTGTGGAGGGAACAGCAGCAGGCAAAAGTGTTTGACTGTCTGACAAGGTGGCAGCTGCTGCTGAGGGCAGGGGACGTCCGTCTGCCCCACTTTGACCTCCTGTGTTCAGCCAGTGCCCCTCACTGGGCCAGCCAGACCTGGGGTGACTTTTTTTCACTGGGAAGAACGTGAATTCTCAGCAGCTGGGCCCTGAGAGGAGCCTGCCTCGCTGGTTAGGCCGGGAATAAGAGGGTTAACACAGTGCTGCCAGCGCTAGTTATGTGCCAGGTGCTGCCACACAGGAAGCTGAGACCCTCTGCTGGACTCTAGGAGCAGCTTGCGGGGGTGCTATTTATAGCCAGGAGCCTAGGCTGCTGACCTGGACATTCCCTGCTGCCACCCATCCTGGAGCAAGGCCAGTGCCAAGCACACTCCTCCCCTCCTCCCCGTCCTGTTCTTCCCTTCACCAGGCGGCCGGTGTGCTGCAAGGACTTTTTAAAAACACGCAATACCTGACTATTTAGTCAGGGCCACTGACCTCTTTTCCCTGAAGTTGTCAAATAAAAATCTGACAACAGCCAACACAACAATAGCCGTCCAGTGTGAATGATTCAAAACTACACTTTTTTTCCCTTTCAGATTGGCAAAAAATATATATTTTTGTGTGTGAC